TCCCTCAGTGTTCAGATCCAAGGCATTACCTAGTCAGACTAACAACACACAGCATCGTTCGCCCCAACCGTGACCGCGCCAATGACAGTTCACTGGCGGTCACCCACGACCAGACCTTTGCCAACCCCACCCTCAAGGCTAAGACACCATTTGTCAAGCCTCCTATTTTTATCGACTACGGCGTCCGCTTGCAGGTCGGCGGTTCCACCTTCATCAACCGCAACTGCATGATCATGGACACACCTGTGGCCGACATTGTCATTGGCGAAGGATGCAACATTGGCGCAAACTGCTGCATCATTGGTGTCACCCGTACGTTTCACCCCTTCTATGCGAAATGCCTTCAGTCCTCGAACCACCTACACCCATCTCCCAGAAAGTATCTAACTAGCAAGCAGACCCAGTCCGCCTCGACGAACGCCTTGAAAGGAACAGCATCGGGCAGCCAGTGACCATCGGCGACAATGTTTGGATTGGAGCCAACGTCACGATATTGTAAGTCACCTTCTGAGCCCTATCTTCATTCTTAAGTCACTATTTTCGACCCAACGCTAACGGTTAATACAGAGGCGGTGTTACGATTGGCGATGGCGCCGTCATTGGTGCCTGCTCCCTTGTGAAGACCGACGTCCCACCCATGAGCGTCGCCGTGGGTAGTCCGGCACGCATCATCCGTTACCAGCGAGATATCAAGCCCGCCGTCCCCGGCGCCTCGCCCACCGCCTTGACCATGAAGGACGCCCTCGCCTTAGCCAACCGGCTACCCTCGAAGGAACAGAACTGGCTCAATTCACTCGTTGCGCCACGCCCGCCCGTTTCTGCCACGGGGGTTCGTCGTGGTGACCTCGCCGCCCCTTGTCAAGCCGGGCGGAGATGCGCTCCTAGAAGCAACGAAGATCACTTGCTAAATCTTGACCTCCTAGGCGGCGTCGAAACCGATAGCGATCTTGACCTCGACGGGGAAGATATGACCTTGCCCGTGGGCAGCCGTCCGTTCACTTCCGAATCGAGATCCACCGCACACAATCTCTTACGCGGGCTCGGGCTGCAGGAAAGATTGTTGGGCGGTGCCTCCGGACATGACGGCCGGGGGAATGACATCAGCGAGTTGTTGATCCAGAGGAGACTGCAGCAGGCCGAGCACCGACAGCGGCAAGTGCTGAGAGAGCGGAGGCGATGGCGGGCTGAAGCGATTGCCATCATCACTGTTGCCGTCGCTCTGTTAATGGCGTTTTTCTTCGCTGGTGTGTATCTGGGTGCAAGCAAAATTTCGGGTGCGAAACCTCTTTAGGTAGATCTGGTCTGTTGTGGTATCCAAGGCCGGGTTTGGTCGAGGCGTTTCCTTGGTCAAGGTATAGACGATTTCGGCGTTTCTTGGGTATGTTGGTAGACATTTTGGCTGGTTGGGCTAGGCAGCGGACTTGGAGGGCGAAAGGAAAATATCGGACTTGGGAAGCCACGGGCTGGCGCGTTCTTTTAACTTTCCTTTTTCTTTCTTTGTGCCTTTTTCCTTTTTCTTGTTTCCTTCTTTTTGTTTCTTACTTTTTGGGCTAGGCTTTATATGCCTACACTTGTTACGTTTATTGCGGATGCCTTTCGACGGGCTAGTACGCTGCCTCTAAGGCTCATATGACGGTCTAGGTCTATGACGGTTCGTTAGGTTTGGCATCGCTCGATGACTCGAGTATATTATTACGTTTTTATTTGTTTCCTCTCAATATGATGTGCTCTTGATCATGATGAACTCATCACACGGCCCTTCACTTACAGCTAGCTGTCTATACGTACAGTAACCCATTTGAGTAAATCTTTCTATGAACTTGCTACCTCGAAGCAGCTTGGCGTGGTGTCCCTTTTGTCGTGCATGTCAGCTGATTTGGAGGCCCCTCTAGACCTTTCTGCCCCAGTCACATCCCACAAATTCCCACCTTCAAAGCTCGTCGACACTTCCACATTACCTGATTGCCTACAAGCACCACCCAGCATCCCAGTCCTGCGTAGCCCTTCCCCCCTCCTCCCCTTTTCACAAGACAACACGAGAGAACAAACCCCACTTACCTTATTCACCCCCCAATCCGTAACCGAGCATGGCCGATACATGTCGGACCGCACGGCACTATACAAAGGACCCTGCCTTACGCCTGCAGCGGCTTGCTCGCCTTGCTTTTGCCCGTCTGCTGCTGCTGCAACAGCTTTTTGCCCCGGCGCACCCAGGCAAGTCCGGGGAGCACTCGGCTAACTCGGGCCGATTCATTGCTCCCGAGAGGAGGGAAAGCCTTGTCCTGCCCCGCTTTACCGCTCCTTTTTACTCGGTACCGGGCTATGCTGCTGTGGGATTCGACGTACATATTGTTATTGGCGAACTTTTTGTTTCTTTTTCAGCACGGGCAAAAGCGAGCACGACTTCCTGATTAGACTTGACACCGATGAGTTACGGGCGAGGGGGTAAGAGGCATCCATGTCAGCGAAGAAAATTGGTGTGTTTTGGTGTGCCCGCATGTACTCTGTTCATCTTGGCCGGGTCGAGCCTCGTTTTGGAGGGCTAACAAGTGTAGTTGAAGCAAGAAAGGGAGGACCAGGCCAGTAAAAACAAGGCAGACTCAATTCCCCCTCGATCTTGTTAAGCTCGCTCGGTGAACCACCGGGGTCGGTACCCCGACTTCCCCCTTTCTCGGGATCCTATTCAACACCGTTTTAAGAAACTAGTCCCCGAAGCACAGACCGGGGATCCAGATCTGGCCTGCCTGGGAAGGGGGGGCTTTGGGATCACGTCAGGAGATCTCTGAATGATCTTGCGTTTCTGTCTCCGATACCAGACGGTTGGCGGATGGGGGCTGGGTGTATGTATGTACACTAGCAAACTAGGTAGGTGAAACGGTTGGTTTCGCAGATCTGGTTCCGGAAGCGTGGGACTGGTACGCTGCTGGTACTGGTGTGGGTTGGATGGTGTGATGTGACATGGTGTTTGTCGGGAGTGTACAGTACACGTGGAGAACTGTCAAGGGTGGTAGGGGGTCCGGGGCGAATCGTTCCCGTTGTCTAGGTAGCTTGGGTAGGTACTGGCTCAATCAAAATACACAGTAGGCCTACCTGTTGCTTGAAGTGATGGATGGCCAGCCAAGCTCGGGACGGGCCGGTTGTTTGGAGAACGTTTGTTCCTGGCTTTACCACATCCATGCTTGTGTCACTTTCGTTGAGACATGCCGAGGTCGTACGGGGTTTAAAGGGACTTCTGGGGTTCTAGGCAATCTGGAACGGACAATTGGTTGCCACGCGGTACAGCATACGTTGCGCAACAAATGCATAGTCTAGCTAGACATTGTGTTTGGTTCCATGTAACGTACCTTATAAGCGAGCCGAACATATAAGCGAGCCGAACACTCTCCACCACTCTA